TCACCAGCTCCTTTCCCACCTTGCACCACCTGGAAATGAAGGAAGCCGCTTTCTTTAGTCGCTCGACACCTACTCAATTCAGCCCGTGTCACCACAGAAAGCAGCACTTTCAAGCCTAGCAAAAGATAAGTTGCTAAATGTGCTCTGCTGAAATGCTAGGGGAGATGCAGCTCCTTAGAAGCCCCCTGCAACATAGCGGGGAAGTGGGAGGGGAAGGCAGAGACCCAGAGCTCCCGATTCCATCTTTAGCTCGGGAGTGGGATGCGGATGAAAATATCACGGATAAATAATGTGACGCTTTCAGGGGAGATCTGGAGTTTTCAGGGACTGCAGGTAGGGGCAAAAGCTTTTCCTGCCTTCCATTCACCTGCCAGGCTGTTCCTGGAGGACTCCTGCTTCTGCAGCGGCTGGAGCACAAGAGGCTTCCAAAGGAAAGGCTGCTCCTGGCAAGGGCCAGCCTGCAAGCTCTGGAAGCAACAAGCAGCACTACAAGCTCAGGGAAAGGAGCTCATTTTGCTGCACTGCTGAGGACTAGCAGCAGGAAAGGTGGTCAGGAACCCCTCCAGATTCATTAGCGCCCGCGGGAGGCTTTCTGTCTCACAGCCAGTCAATCAGCGCAGAGCGCTCGCGACAGCAGTAGGGAGGCTCAGAGCTGCTCTCTGAGCCGGGCCGCAGTGTTGCCTCTGGGCAGAGCCCCATTTGTCACAACCACTTCCCGTCTCCCTGCACCTACACGGGTGCAGATCACTTTTCCGAGCGGCACTTTGGATCTTCTTCCCTGCGTTTTGTAATGGCAAGTGGCCGCATCTCCTAGATCCCTCTGTTGCAGGGGGCAGCCTGCCGGCTTGACCGCTTGCCTTCCCTGATTTTGATTGTGTGTTCAGCTAGTTGAGAACAGGCACGTACTGATGGTCACTGGTACATATGGGGATGGAACGCAAACACAAATATATGGCAGACAGCCTGCTTTTATTATGGTTTAACAGCCCCAGAGGGTTTCACCTCCATCAGCAGCCTTGCGCATCCAGCCTAGCTCAGCTCCTTCAGGACTGGCTTGTTCTCCGACGTCAGTATTAGACGATGTCAGTTTTGGGGGGTCATTTTTCCTCATTTTCCCCTGCCATTAACCCACCTGAACCAACACAGCTTGGCTGCAGGGTAGTCGGAGGCCTCTCAGCATTGCTGGTCTGCAGAGGGAAGCCAACGGCTCCCGGTGTCTCTGCAGAGCAAGCGCCTGCACCAAGGGACCCTCTTTCACGGCCGACCTGCGCAACAAAATTAGAAGCAATTCCATTTAGCTCTCTGTGCTAAAGGCTCCCAAATGCTTTGCCGAGTGGGCGTGCTTGGAAACTATCACATGAGGCTGGTTATGGCACGACTGGAAGCAACCGGGCTGCAGTACCTGCTACTGCACTGCAGTGCCTCCCCACGGGGAGGCCACCTCCCTGGCAAGGTGACTGGCACCGGGGCAGTTTGGTGACTCATTCTGCTCGCCAGCTCCCTGGCCGCTTGCCAGGAAAGAGGGATGATGGCAGCTGGCCCGGGTCAGGCTGTCTCCTGGCCTTCAGCCTCCTTCCAGGGCAGGAGCAGCCCCAGGGTTCGTGCCTGGCTGCCACCGTCCTGCTCACCACAGCCACCCGTCCCCATTGCAGGGTCACCTGTACCCAGAGCCACAGCTACTACCCCGGGCAGTCACCCTGAGCCCTCTGCTCTCGTGCTCTGGGGCTTCCAGGCTCCCTTCTCACAGCGCCGCTCATCACGGCATCTCTCCAGCCACACTGCTCCTTCCCTCTCCCTGACCATCTCCTCTGGCCACACACTCAGGTCCCTCTGAGCCACTTGCAGTGACCATTCTTCAACAGCCGGGATGAGTTTTGAAGGGAGCCCATGTTAAAGCATTAGGATTAACGTGTATTAAGACCTGGGTATTATGCAGACCCACAGGTCCCTACAGGGAAAGGCTGCTGCCAGCACCTCCTCCTCATCGCTCACCTTACAGACACCAGAAACAGCCAAATCCTGCCCAAAACAGCAGGTCACAGCACTGCAGGGCATGGGACAGCTCTGGGCACTCAGGAGGATTGTCCCAGGGGGGATCTGCATCAAGACACCCCTGGGCTGCTCCTGATGATGCCCTGAGGGAGGCACTGGAGACAGGCACTTATTTGGCCTCTGAGCTTTGCAGATGCCTCCACTGATACCAAGGCTGGTATGGATGGCTAATATATTCTCTCCTGCTTACTTTCATTTTTTTCTGGGAGTCTTTCTTGAACCCCTTCACTCCCCAGCTTATCTCTGGGGGTCATCAAGTGTTAAATCACACCTTGGAGCACCTGCAACCAATATGAGTGTCAGAATTTATGTTTCCCACTGCATCAAGAGGGGAGAAGTCTCCCTCAGTGGAAGTTCATTAGTGCCTCTCTGGCAGCAAGAACAGTCTAAATACTTGTCCTACATCAGGATGGAAACATTATTTAGCCTTGTTTTCCTGTGCGATTAAACATTTTTGCCTTGAAACTATCATCGCAAGCAGCCCATCCCCAGAGTGACGCAAAGTCTTGACTACTTGCTGAAACAGCAATGATGCAGCAGTTTCGGAGGAAAAAAATACATTCTCCTATCACTGTTTTGCAGCAAAACTTCACCTTTCCTCTGAAAGGAGAGCAGACCACCGTGCTCCATACGCTCCCTCCTCTCCTGAGGTTCACCATGATTCACACTCCTTGAAGCCAGGGGTGAAGAAGCTGCATGAGCTCCAGCTGCACCCAAGGTACCTGCCCATCTCACCTGCGACTGGATCAGCCCCGCACTGAAACCTCCTCAGCTTTCACTCAACATCAAGGTGCTGAAGCATAAAAGCAATTAATGGATCAAGCCCTGCCATGTCCAGGAGTGGTATATGCATTCCTACTCACAGCCAAGCCTGGATACCCGATTTTCTCACCCAAATACACAGAACAGGAAAGAAACAGTGCCTAAGTGCTACCTAAGTTTTCTGCTCATGAGTGGATTCTGCACACAGGTCTGTTATTAAAAACAAACCGCACATGCTGGTAAATAATTTCCAGCTTGTTTCCACCGAGATGGATGGCTGGAGGTTATATTCCAACATCCAAACTACAGCCACTTTCTGTGTAGCTCTATTATGAAAACACTCATTTTGCACTGGGAAGATTGCTGGTTTGGGTTTTTTTTTTTTCAACCTCTCACAGATGCAGCTTTTCGGCATAAAAATGACTCTTGGTGGGAACAATAAGCAGAACATTTCAATGGAAAATGCAGTTACGTAAGAGCCCATCTGACGAGTGTCCCAATACAAAGAGGAGCCTTTTTACACCTCTCCGCACACGCTGCGTACCAGCTCGGGACGGGCAACGCTCCTGCGCATCCAACGCGACGGCGAACGGCTTCAGGAAGCAAAGGAAATCATTGGGGGTAACTGAAACTGCGGGGAGGAGCTACAGGCACAACACGTGCCCAATTACTCACGGCAGAGCCAAGCCAAGATTAACAATCCCATTTCGGGGCATTTAGAGCTCGTTGAGTTTTCCCTGTGTTGATGATACCAGTTTTATGTCTTATCGGTTGCAAGATGCAGCGCTTCAAGAAACCCTGGGTGTCCTCAGGCAAAGGTTTCCACCAGGGTCTTGAAGCTCCCGTAGAGCAGGGGTTGTGGACCTGGTTTGCATCATACCCAGGTACCCATCTCCTGCCTCCAGCCCAAGCAGGGACCAACATAAGGTGCAGCCCAGCATGAAACGTGCTGGCCTCCACCTTCCTCTGCTTGCCCCAAGGGCAAGCCCTTGCCACCAAGCCAAGCAGTTGCCCTTCAGCACCTCCACTGGCCAGGAAAAAGCAAGGCCATCTCCAAGAATCTGGAAGTTCTTGCCCACTTTCTGGTGAGCTTGGAAAGCTCAGCCTCCCCAGGACACAGCCTCCAAGCCTGACGAGTGACTACACTGATCTTGGGCAGCACAAGACCTCAGGCTGCCAGTGGTCGCATGTGCCAAGGACTCCAAAGCCTCGACAGGAAGCAGCAATTACAGTCTCTCCCCTCAGACCCCAATAACAGGGTGTGCACTGAAATCTGCAAGGCTGAAAACAGCCTCTGAGGGTTGCAAACCCCTTGTAGCCTCGCAAACAAACCCAGCAACAGCCCGGCCCCGTCCTCTCCCCAGCTCATCAGCAGCAGCGACCGCCCCGCGCGAGCCCTTACCTCCACCAGGTGAGGCGTCGGGTTGAAGCCGCACATGTTGCAGACCTGCTGCCTGCAGGTCGTGCAGCTGTTGTAGTTGGGGGGCTCGCCGGAGCCCACGTTGAGCTCCGCTTTGCAGAGCGGGCACAGGACCCTTGCTTTCGGCACTTCCTTTGGCTTGACTTGCTCCGCTTTCCCTTGCTTTGGAGCTGGCGCAGTCCCAGCCCTACCCGGCGCCCCGGGCGAAGCACCCGGGGCTTTGAGACCAGCTTCTTTGCTGGCGTCGCTGAAGACGATTTTTGGAGGCACTTTGCCAGAAGACTGCGGACTCGGAGGGGGCGCCTCTGGCTGGACAGACATAAGTGTGCTTGCCTGGGTCAAGAGGGAAGCCCCGAAGCCAAAGAGCTTCCCCGTGAGACCCTCCTGGGCTTGTTCTTGTGCGCCGGGGGTTGGAGCCGCGGCCTTTGCTGGGGAGTCTCCCACAGTCTTTCTCTGCTCAGAGGAGGAAGGCTTTGCTTGTTGATGCTGAGGGGAAGACCTCCCCGCTTCCTGAGGAGCGGCAGGTTTTGGCTGGCCTTGGCCACGCTGCTCCCGCGGAGCCGCGGCGGCTTTGGGGGGCTCCGGCTGCGGGCCGCCGGCGCCGGGCCTGGCGCTTGGCTGCATAGTTCCCGGGGGCTTGTCCTGGCCTGCGGCGACCTGTGCGGGTTTGGCGGGGGAGTGGGACGGAGACGGCGCCGGGGAGTGGAGCTGCTGCTGGCTTTTGGAGCGAGGAGCTGTGGTCATGTCCATCCCCAGGGCTCGCTGCATCTGGCAGTTCAGACAGAGCCACTCTTTCACCTGCGAGACAGAGAGACAGCGGGCAGTGAGCGAGGAGCCGGCAAAGCGCGCGGTTCTGAGGGAAAAACAACGAGCAGCTTTTCCTTGAGCAGCATTTGCTGGGCGGCCAAGATGCCGACTTGAGAGAGAAGGGGGAAAAACGGTTAATTTTCACTCTGGAAACAATGCGCTGGATGCACAGGAAAACTCCAACACTCCCTGGCTAAGCAGCGATAAATGAAAACCTTCCCCCTCGGGAGCCGTTCCCGATGACACACTAATGTCGGAATTAAGTTAATTAAAAGAGGCCGTGTGAAAGCTGGGAGCCTTCTGATAGGAGGCATCCCATGGATGCGCAGCAGCCCTACAAAGATTAATACAGAGCAGTCTCCAGGATAACCAGGGCTGATGCAGACACTTCCTCCAAGACAAGTGCTAAGCGGGCAAAAAGCACCAGAATATTCCCCAGAGTGGAGCTGTGTCACACACAGAGGGCCTGAACAGTCACCTGGAAACCCAGAGACTTTAAGGGCTTAAAAGCTGTAGTTTTGGGTATAGTATCTCTATAGGGAAGGCCACCAGACCTGCCCTGCCAAGTCGCTTCTTCAATATTTGGCTCAGAGCTAAGCGAGGAGCAGCTCAGCTCCTCCTCAGCAATCCTGCATCACATCGTTATTTCTCCAAGCCTTTCCAAACTACCTATTTTCTATTTGCATTGTTGATGCTATTGCAGTGTTATTAGAGATGCTGTAATTTCTCATGGTCTTGCTCTCACTATCCTGAGCCATAAACCAAAGCAGACAGAATTCCTCCTTTTTTTTTTTTCTTTTTTTCTTTTTTTTTTTGGAATTAAAAAGTTCTGGAATTTCTCCTCGCCCTCCTATTTTGGGAGAACATCTCCTGAAATCTCGTCAGCTCCGCACCCCGTCCCCATCAGCGCTGATTAAGGGAGAACCAATCCTTTCTGTTCAGGTTTCTCTCTGCCCGCAAAGTTCTCCAGCATCTAAGAAATGCAAATCTTCCCTCTCTGCATAATCTTCTTAGCTGCACTTTAAGACCCTACGGCTGGATGGAAACCGGGGAAGGGAGCTCTTCCCACAGCATCTTTTCTTTTTAAATTTGTATCCAGCTTCTCTCCCACACGCCTTGGTGACAGCAAGGGAATACCGGCTAGGGGACAGTCATAGCATCCTCGGCACATCGGGGACCACAGCCACGGGGACACATTCCACACTCCTATCTACATTTATATAGTCTCTACTCACTGTAGCCCAGGACAGGCTCGGGTTTGTTTTCAAGGACAGGAAAACTCGTTGCTCCCCTCCTGCATAAACTTCCAACCTACCGACTCCAAACCACCCAATCGTGTGCTAAGGAAATTCAATTAATTGCCCTTGACTGTCTACCAGTCTTAACGAGAAAGACTTGCTGTTGGTGCCTAACAAACCTTTCCACATTGCAGATTTGCTGCTTTGTGGCCCTCCCTGAAATGCAATTTTGGGTGGGATTATCCAACTGCCTGGCCAGCTTTTCCCGACACAACCAGTAATACAGCACAGGGCTTGCAAAGATCACAAAAAGGCTTAAAGGATCCTAATAAAGCTATAGAATAAAGAGCTAATAAAGAGGAGTGGCCAAGTAATTTGGTCAAAGACTCTTTTCACAAGAAAGGCAAAAGAGGAAATATCAAATCCTGATGAGAACCATTGCTTACCAGCCCCATGGAAGTTCGGATTTGGTGGAGTACTGGGTAAGGCACAAAAATAAATGAAGCAGGGGATTATTCAAGGCACTTGTATCACTTGGCTCTGAACACAGCTTCTTCCCCAAAGACTAACCACACAAGGGGTAGACACATGGAAAACGGTGGAGGGAAAATGAAAAGATAGTTCTCCCCGCTGCTTATACATCCATGCTAAGAGGCTGGGTAACAAGCAAAATAAATGTCACTACAACAACAAAATTGCTGTTGAACCCTTCTAAGGACGGAGGAGCATAAAACTGCTTTCTTGAATGGTCTGTATATGAACCATGCATATGCAGTCAGGTATTTATTTGAACAATCTTCTCTTGGATTTGCTGCTTGAAGCATCTGACAAAATCTGACTAGGGAAATACTGAAAGATGCAAATCAAATTGGGAGGCAAAGGATGGTCCTACAGCTGACACAAAGGGAGGAAGGGCCATGGGCAGGTTCTAAGCGCACGTTGCCACTTTGCAGAAGGAAGGGCTCAATTAGAAACAAAATCAACAGCGACCATTTGGTTCAATACGCCAAATATCCCCTGAAGTTAAGGAGAAACTGCAAAGTGCATAAAATGCATGAAAAGGAAAGAAGTTTGGAAAGAAACAGGCAAGTGCTGGGGCAGGAGAAGGGATTGGTTGGGTGTATTAAGGGCAGCTGCCACCCTAGAAAGCACATGGGTCCATTACTCTCTGGAGACGAAGCTGTTAACGAGAAGATATGGCACAAACACTGTAATGACCAGGGCGAACGTCTGGCAAGAAGCAAACTAACAGCCATTCCGAGCACGAAGCACTTCCAGCTTATTAGCGGTTGAGGGGAACATCCGGCAACATCTACCAGCGCTGAGGATATTTCAGTTTGGCAGATCTGAATCATTTTGCATCCAAGAGCTCCAGAAGAGCGAAGGAATCTGCTACAGGCTGACATTCATTTCTAAGCAGTCTTGTGGAACTGGGGGAATTTTAGAAGAGCGGAAGAGGTTTTTTGCCTGAATACCCAACGAGGCCACAACACGGCCGGAACGGGACAGCGAGACAGACATCCGAGACGGAAAGATGACACTGCACCAGCGAGGAAGGAACCGAGGGCAGCGGATATGTCAGTCAACGTGATTTTAGGGAAAAAATAGGTGACAGCAAGCAAACCTGATTTCCTTGTTTGCTAAGGCAGCGCATTTGATATTTGCGGTATATTTGATGTCCAAGAAGTGCTTTGACCTAGTAATGCACAGCTTGGATTTTTTTTTTTTTTAAACGCTATAAAATATGAAAAGTGAACGTGCTGAATGGCATTCAGGGAGCCTGAAGCAGGAGGAAGGAGGTTCAGCTGCCTCTTCCCACACCGACAGATTCATTCCAAAGTCATTAGCGGTTTGATATTGATATTTTTAAAAGATTAATGAAATATCGAAGATGAGGTTGATGGGATATGCAAAAGTGATTCGAGGAACGGAGAAAACATCTGAAATGAGAAAATTAGAGCAGCCCTTCTTTTTAGCTTATCAAAAAAGAGATTAAGAAGTGACTTGATTATGCTATAGAAGCACATTCAGAGGAAACAATATTAGGCACTAAAAGGTTCTTAATCAGGCAGGAAAAAAAGGCATAAAAAGAACTAACGACTGGCAGTGGAAGCCAAATATATTAAGCATCGTTTTTAACAGCAGATGTTTCCAACCATTAAAAAAATTATAGACATGCTGTTGAGCTCAGTAGAAGACTATACTGAGGTAGAGCTCACAGCCTTTCATATATGCGGTGATTTATACCTGTATTGATGCTACAGGCTTGGAAAATTTGAACTACGGAGTGTTTTTTTCTTTAAATATTTGGTATGAGGCTGACCCTTGCAGGGCATCCAGCACCAGCCCTACACAACAGCCCATGCACTAACCACGCTCAAGGCTTAGGCTCATCCCCACCCTTATCCTCACGGCATTCCTTTTTTTTTAACTTAAAAATCCCTTGGTAGGAAATAATGGAGGCAACTCGTTGGATTTAGAAAGCTGCTGAGTTACTCCAACTGGGAAACAATCCCAGTTTCCGGGAATGATGGAGAAACAGGGAGTTCCTCCACCTCATGCAGGCTGCCCAATGCTTTGGGCTCGTTCACGAAGGCCTGGGGTTGAACACAGCAAAAGGCAGAGCAGCTCAGGCAGCCTGGTGGAACCCGCAGCGGCCACGCTTTCTGAGGGGCTTTCGGGCTGCTTTTAAGAAGAATTATTATCCTCTCCTGTAACAACACAAGGCCAGCTCCACCAAAAAGGTCACAGGAGGAAAGCAGGCCCCCGTCAGCAAGATTGGCACCCTGTTTGCACACAAAAGAAGTCAGAGGTCTGCAAAACACCGTGGAAGCTGCAGGTAGCGTATCTGTGAGGGTCCCGTTTGGAGGGAAGAGGAGGAACATGAAGGAGTGTGGATACTACCGGGAGGAGAGGTCTCCTGGGCAGGCCGGCCTTCAGGAGCTTCCCTGGGTCCGTGGTCCTGACGGATGCGCCAGCTCCGCTCCCCTTCCCAAGCGGCCTTACGGAGGGAGGCTCTGCTCGCTCCAGATGGAGAACAGGAGGACGCGAGCGTGGAGGCAGCGTGGGCTGAAATTCCCCGGTCAAAATCGAAAGCACAGTTACACAAGAAGCCAACCGCGCCAGAGGGACTGTGCAATTAAAAGTATTTTGGCACTCCATTGACAAGAGAATTAGTCTCTGAGGCACTTCTGGAAAAGGCCACCTGATGCTTATCTTTATCTTCAAGCATCTCAACACAAACAAAATCTAGTCCGTCCCCCTTCTGCCCGGGAGGGGAAACCATTAAATCGTCAGTAATCATTCTGCTAACGCTTGCCAGAAAATCATCAACATGTGCTGGCTAGCAAGAGGAACAAACCCCCAAACTCATCTTCTTCACTGCAAACAACAGATGGGAATTCTGCATTTGTCCCAAGAACTGAGTTATGGGATAAGACAGTGCCATTTTATCCTATTAGTCATTTCTTAACTACTTTCCCTTACATAAATGTGTGTTTCTTGCTAGTACTCCCAAACTAGCAGAACGTTTCTAGTGTAAATCCCGGCTATCTCACACGTTTGTCCCCCAGCGCCCTCCAGCAAGGGGCTCTTATTGCTTTTACAGTCACCAGGAACCACAAATACCATTCAGCTCTTCTGCATCTAGAAGAGCGCTGGCAGAGTGAACATCCCGCTGCATTCGTGCTCTTCTGGTAGGAAAACACTGCGGGGATGTAAATAAAATCATCAAAAAGCCCCGGAGAGGCGCAGAG